TTGTAGAGTTGCAAAGTCTTTGAATTGAAATCGAAATACAGGAAATTCTTCCTTGCACTTTGTAAACATAGTGCTCCCGTGCAACATGATCTTAAAATCACCTGATGTCGAACGATACTTCCCTATATTGCTGTCCACTTGATAATTTTTGATACAAATGACCCTTGCCCTCCTCAAAATTCCTCTCTCTAAACGCAACCAAGTTGATTGCTCGTAGTCATGCCTTAATGCGATTTCTCTAAACATATACAAAAAAACAATCAATGAAAAAATAATTTGGTTTAAAAAAAAGAAAAAATATATATTATATTTACACGAAAATAGATGTTTAATATTTCGAAATAAAAAAAAAGAAGTAAAAATAATTTGGCTTACAGTTTTATCATGCAGAACTCTAGATAAGATTTGTATGTGCTGCCCCAGTCTTGGAAAAACATTCTTACAATTCGAACTTTAAGCATAGGTCTATTAGACCTATTAACTTTGATTAAGCCAAATCCTTGATTCATTGTTATGAATGACAGACTGAACTTGTTTGATTAAGCCAAATTCTTGATCAGCGTGTTCCTCACTTTCAACCTCGGGGAAAAAATAAATCCCCAATGAGTCTGTCATTCATAAATCATAACAGTGAATCAAGGATCTGGCTTAACCATACAAGTTCAGTCTGTCATTCGTAACAATGAATCACAGATTTGGTTTAATCAAAGTTAATAAGTCTAATAGACCTATGCTTAAAGTTCGAATTGTAAGAATGTTTATGTTTTTCCAAGACTGGGCGAGACATACAAATCATATCTCGAGTTAGTTCTGCATGATAAAACTGTAAGCTAAATTATTTTTACTTTTTTTTTTTGAAATATCAAACATCTATTTTCGTGTATATATAATATACATTTTTTATGTTTTTAAAACAAATTATTTTATCATCGTGGTTGATTTTTCGTATATGTTTAGGGAAATCACATTACGACATGGCTACGGACAATCAACTTTGCTGCGTTTAGAGAGAGGAATTTGAGAAGGGCATGGTCATTTGTGTAAAAAATTATCAAGTGGACAACAATATAGAGAAGTATCGTTCAACATTCGGTGATTTAAGATATGCTGCACGAGCACTATGTTTACAAGGTGCAAGGAAGAATTTCCTGTATTTCAATTTAAAGGCTTTGCAACTCTACGAGATACAAAATTGATGAATCGATGTTATTAGGTAAGATTATTTTATGTTGTTTTTAATTTTATTTTTTTATTTCAAAATAATTAAATTATAACATATTTGCTTTTTTATTGTAGATGTTATAGGATTAGTCGTTGACATTCAAAGTAGTTTTATATCCCGTACATTTTTTTTATTCATGTATATAATAATAAGCCTCGCTAAATAACCTTAAAATTGTGCACCCCGTGCATCGCACAGGCTCTGCACTTGTAATATGTAGGGATTTACGTAGATTAATATATATATCAATAACAAAACACTTCAATTTAGGCTTGAATCTAATTTAATTTTGGCTGACAGATTTTATGTTGACCGATCAAAACTGTTTTTTTTATTGGCTTAGTACATATTTTTTTTTTTTGAACCGACCTTATGGGAAATAAGTAAATAAATAAAAATATTGATGGAAATATAATGCATTAATTGTACTTTGACTTTTCTTTCTACTAATTTTAATAAATGAGATGACTTATTATATAAGTATAGATGAAGAGTTTCCCTATGCATCACTTTATGTACTTTGTAATTCTATGCATTAATATATTTCCTTCATAATTATATGTGGTGCTTGGTTGTTTTCTGGTGCTTCTTAATCTTATGTGTCGGTTTTTTATCATAAGATTTGATATTGTAACAATGCTTATTAGAATTTCTAAAATCTTAAAACGCTAAATTAACTTAAATCATATATATATTTTTAAACTTAATAAATTTATTATTTGTTATAAGATTTATATCTATATGTAAATATTTGTAATCAAAAAAATTTATCAATCAAGTATAAGTTAGAAAAAATATAATATAGGAGAAGATGTAAAACTGAAGTGACGAGTGTTATTTTAAATATCAATAATAATTTATTTATTAAAAATTAAAACAAAAATCCTCTTTTCTTCTTTAAGAAAATAAGAATAAATTTTGTTTTAGGAGTTTTGTACTCTACTCATGATTATTTAATTGAAAAAAAAATAACTACTAGATTTAGATGCACTTGAATCTCTCTACACAGTCAAACCCAAATCTTACGACTTTTGCAGCAGCAAATAAGTACCAAAACCAGGAAAGAAGGCAGGATTGATTACCTGGGCCTACCATGTTGGAGGCCCAATTATTAGGACAGATAGTGGGGCCCGTGAAAGATGAAGTACGAACAGGCTTGTAGCATATGTTTTATTTTAATTAATGCAATGGTAAAAGATAAAATAAAATAATATAGTCATAATTAAGAAAAAATAAAAAAGAGGAAGAAAAAACGAAAGGAAAAATGAACTTTGTGCTAATCCAATTCATTTGGGAACCAAAAAGATCTATGAGAGCATTGTGAAGAATTCCCTCCTAAATTTTTGATCTCACACAAAGTTTTTAGAATATTCATGCTACCCTCTAGTGCTGTTAAACAAAACGAGCTACTAGTAAGCTCGGCTCTCGTCAGCTCGTGTGATATGAGGCGAGTTCGAGCTTATCGACTCGTTAGGCTTAAAAAAATTAAGAGTTTTTAGTACTTTTGTGTACGTTTATCATAATTCTGATTGTTAAGGTTTGAACTCGGCTTGTTGTGTCTTATTAATTTCGATAAATGAGTTGAACTAGTCAAGCTTGGATTGTCTCGGTAAAAAGCTCGAACCTGAGCTAGAGTGTTAGAAACTCAAAACTCGGTTTGGTCGGTGTAGCTCTGCTACGTTGTACCCACTTCGTTTTTTTTTTTTTTTTTCAATTTCCCATATCCTATCCTTGCAACTTTTAAAATTAAATAAACCGTTACCTATATTTCCTTATAGAATTTGTGATTTTTATTATACCTAGTTTTAACCAGCAATTATTTAATCATTATTGTGCTATTTATCATATTTCGTACAACAATATGAATAAAAATACGACATTTCATGATATAAATATATATATATATATATATATATATATATATATTAAATGGTACGATCGTCTAACATATATCTGCAGTTCATGTCGATGTTTTATTTGACTTATGAATACATTCATCATTTTCTCTGCATTTTTTTCTTCATTGCTTGTGGAAATGTAGGTTGTTTGCTTCTTGTAGATTTTTTTTTTTCTTTTTATTTTTTTCTCAAAGAAAAGTCATCACTTCTTGGATAGAGACCGTTTGTTGCACGAAGTGGTGTTGTGGTAAAAAATTAGAGAGCAGATAATGAAACTGTCATGGTTTAATTTGGGGCAGAAAATGAATTTTGTGATATTGTAGTGGCAAATGTGAATATTTTCATTTTTTGTGAGTTAATGAGCTCAAGGGCAATAAAAGCATTGAAATTAAAGATTTTGTGAGTCAGAGTCGGTCAATGAGCAGAAGGACCATCACTTGGGTTGTTTGGGATGTTAGAGTTAGGTTGGCTAATTATATTTTTAAAATAGAATTACATATTTATAGTGTATAATGCAGGAGAAATATATATGTTTTTTTTTAAATTATTTTGTCTTATTACCTCTACAAAAAAAAAAAAAACATTTATTTGGAGGGAGTAGATTTTCCTCCCTTTCCTCACTTTTTCTCCCCTCCAATTTTGGAAGGAGGGACGTGTTTTAATACGATGTGAAATGACCATTTAGTCTCTACTTTCAACTGTTTTTTTTTGTCTTATTTCATTAAAGGTAAGTTTGTCATTTTAATTTTATTTTCCATTTTTTTAATTTTTTTAACAAACAATGTTCATCATTTTCCCTCTCATCCGTTTTTAAATAATCCTTTCAAACAAGGTAAAATTATTTTTACATCCTCTCCTCTCTTTCCCTCCACTAAAGTTCATCCTCTACGTTGAACCAAACACACCCTAAAATCTCTCACATTGCGATTTGCAATGTACCATAAGCTAAAACAACACACGAGATCAACAATGTTACATTACAAGATACAACTCATCACATGAATCAAATGAACATAGAGGTTAGTGTTATTTTGTACAAACCTTTAAAAGGTCACACATTGCATTTTGTAATGTGCCAAAAACTAAAGCAACACACAAACTCGTTGATTTCACAGTTACTAGCACGGGCAGAGATTCAAATTGTCGAGTCGACAAACAACAATGAGCGAAATTTCAATCCATCAGATCAACAAACACTTGAACGCCTGTGTAACTGTAGGATATGATGCCTTAATTCCCAATAATTTTAGTATGACAAGAGTTTTAGATTGTTGGATTCGACAATTGCAGTTTCGAACCAACCGATCGACGAAGCTCGAATTTCTTGACCAATCATATTGACATATTCTATCCTCAATACCCTACCCCACCACACCTCATGAAATCACAATAAATAAATGAAAAAAAAAAGAAAAAAGAAAAAAGAAAAAAAAAATCATCAAATAACAATAAATTTTTTTTTAAAAAAAAAGAAAAAAAGGAAACACAAAACCACAAAAGTAGAGTCTAAAGAGAAGCCCTATTGCACTTTCTCTCTCCTCCCTCTAATCTCTCTCCCTGCCCCCTTTTTCCTCTCTCTTATCACTTCACTTCCGCCCAGATTTTCATTCCTTTCTTTCTCTCTTCTTCCACACACACACACACAGCACAAAAGGGAAAAAGAAAGAGGAAAAATTGAAGAAAACCCACAAGAAACATAGATAATTTATTCCCTTCTCCTATTTATTTGGTTTTGAACGAAACCCTAAACGCAATCGTAGATTTAGGGCGCATCGTGTATAGGTTCTGTACAGAAAGGGTTGTCTTGGATGAGATTGAGGCAAGGCGGCGCAAGGAGGAGGAAGAAACAGCAGCGAGGTTAGAGGTGACAGCAGTATTTGATGCCTCCGGAGCAGTTGCCTTGGGATCGAAGGGATTTCCGGAAGCACGACAGATCCGGCTCCGACCGGCGCTTTACAGGCGGAGGAGGAAGGGGAGGATTCGGAGGCGGGGACCATAGGTGGCGGGAGCAGCACCACCATCCGCACGCGCCGCCGCATCCGCCGCCTTATCACTACCACCGTAACCACCCACAGCAGCGTTGGTATTCGGATTTCCGCTCCTCTCGTCCTATCCCGCCTGGTGAGTAATCGATTGAAAACTTAATCTGGGTTTTTTTTTTTTTTTGAAATTTTATTTTATTTCGAGTTTTAAAGGGTTGTTGTATGTCTGTGCCACATAGATGGTTCCGTCTCGTGTCCAGACAGGTTAGGTTTTGTTTTCTATCAGATTCGTGGAGTTTAGGTGAATTAATTAAACAGGGTTATGGTGAATTTTCAGAAATTAGGGGCTTTCTCTCGAGTGGGTGATATAGGTTTGAAAAGGGGTTTTTCACCTTGTTGATTTGTGTATTTTTTCTGGATTAAGATCCACACAAAACGGTTCACGGCCTTATTCTCTATGCTATTACTCTGAGGGGTCCCGGTGGATGGATTTGGAGCAGATCTGTCGTATTTATAACAGACCTAGTTTGGCGGGTGGGTGGTGTTGTGTAGATCTGTCTCTGTCTTGGCTTTTGTTATGCTTTAATTTACATAAATTTGTAAAACCAATGCCCAGAATTTTATAAATGGGCTTCTTTTTCCTTACGTGTTAGATTTTTTATTTTTTTTCGATTGTTGATTGTTTCTTCTGCCCATGATTTTGGACTTTTGGATTGTTTCTTGCTGAAGGACATGGTAAGCAGGGTGGTTGGGGCATGCACCCTGATGAGGCTGGTCATGGATTTTCGCCCTTTGGGTCAAGGTATGGTGATAGAAACATAGAAGATGACAATTTTCGCCCTTTTGGCTCCCGCAGTGAAGGGAGGTTTTTTAGAAGTAGCAGGGAGAACAGAGGATCCTTTAGCCAGAAGGATTGGAAGTCTCCATCTTGTGAACCACCTGTTGCAACGTCCAGTGGTTCTGGGAGACCCAACGACGAGGTTACTAATCAGAAATCTGTAGAGAACACCCAAACATGCCCTACCAACTGCAGCAAGGGTAACAACTCCGAGAATGTTGAAACATTTCATAACAACTGTAGTAAGGGCAATAACTCCGAGAATATCCATATCAACAGCAGTAATGGCAACAGCTCCCCTCATCCTCCTCCTCCTGATTCCCTATCATGTCAACCTCAAGCTGTTTCAAAAGAGAAGTACGAGAACGATGGGGGCTCTGGTGATCAGCCTGCGAGCTCAGTTCAGAAATCAGATAAAGGAAATGCTGTAGGGTCGTTGGATTGGAAGCTGAAATGGGATCGATCATGTAGCTTGACATCAAGGGGCTCTGGTTTAAGCCGTTCAAGTAGCTCCAAGAATACTGCAGTGGATGCTGTTGAGGAAAAGGCAGAGGTGAAGCCGAAGAATACTGCGCCCATTGACTCACCTGCTGCTGTATCTCTGGAGCCCACTGCTCAAGTTCCATCTGGTGACACCGGGTCAAGGAAGAAGCCTCGCCTAGGCTGGGGCGAGGGTCTTGCAAAGTACGAGAAGAAGAAAGTTGAGGGTCCTGAAGATGGTGTTGCGAAAGATGTCCTGGCTAACAGTGTCAGTTCTGCTGAAACTATGCAACTTCCTTCTGCTAATGTGCTTGAAAAAAGTCCCAAACCTGCAGATGGGTTAGATTGTGCCTCACCAGCAACTCCGTCTTCGGTTGCTTGTAGTTCTTCACCAGGTAACATATTGTGTGTTCTGATGAGCACCTTACTTTCCTTCTATTGGTTGTTCATTGATCATAAATTTATGGTAAGTACCTTTTTTTATGAAATTTCTCCCAAGGTACATATCTTATATGACACAATTAACATTTATTTTGTTCATAATCACTGATTGACTACTTATGCATAGAAGATAGAAATAAAATCTTTCTGGGACATGCAATTGCCTTCCATTATGTGGAAGCGACAACATACAAGCAAATCCGGTTAGATTGTGTTATTTTTTATGTTGTAATGTTGAAGTACTTAAAATAATCCTAGATAGAGTGGATTTCGACGTAATTCTCGGGAGGATTTGGCATCACTTATGGCAGTCGTGGCCTTTTAGCTGCTTGAAAACATCGTTAATCGCAATAGTTGTTTCATCATATTTATAGATTGGAGTTGCATCGGTTTAATACTTAATGAGTCTTTAATTTCAGACTTTGGAGGTTTAACTCTCTGGTGCTGGCTAGCCAAAGTTTCCCAATAAATATTTGATTGCATAAAAATTAGCTTACTCCCAATTATTATAGGCCCACGTCAAATAGACTAAGGTATTTTTTTTTTCAAATTTTCTTTATTGAATATTGAGTTGCAATCAATATGGATGTAATTGTGCAGGCGGAACATTTTTGGTTTGGTACTAGTGCCGTTGTCGGTGACTGTCAAGAATCTTTCTACTTCTCTTCATGCCAATTGAGGCTTTAGAGATTTGACTGTTATTTGTGCCTTAAATTGAGATGTTTGTTTGATGTTTTGTTGATTACATTGAGCCCATTACCCTGTTAGTTAACAAAATAGTTAGTAATGCAAGCTGGGGCTTGATACGAAATTGTTAGATATGCTTCTTCTGAAAGAAAGTGTTATTTTTTATTCTCCTCCAGTCAAATGTTATATGCATTTATTTTACTTGATTGCACAGATTGCTGGTTCCCTCGTTACTTTATGCAATAAGAGCTGGTTTTCACAATAGAGGTGTTCCTTTATGAGTGAATTTGCCTTGCGTTACACTGGATCCTGTACTTGATTTGGAGGTGCTTGTTTTTCTTTCAAGTGAAATTTCTTATTCTGATTCATATTTAAACATTTCAGGTATTGAGGAGAAAGAATCTATCAAGGCAGTTAATATTAATCATGATCCTGCTAATTTAAGCTTTTCACCTATTAACATAGCCCAGTCCTGCTGTGAGGAATCAACTTTCAATCTGGAAAATTTGGAGCTTGCATCCATTGCCAATCTTAGCTCATTAATAAATGCGATGTTGCAACCGGATGTTCCAAGTTCTGCAGAGACGAGCTATGCACGAGCCACCTCGATGAATAAATTGTTGGTATGGAAAGTTAATGTATTAAAAGCGCTTGAGGTGACTGAATCTGAAATAGATTTGCTCGAGACAGAATTGAAGTCACTGGTAGCTGAACCTAGGAGTCGCTGTCCTCATCCAGCAGCGTCCATCTTGCTTCCTGGGGAGTGTCATTCAAATTCTTTTGAGCAAGAAACTGTCTCTAGCGCTGTTAGAGCTGCTCCTTTGCAGGTGGTTGCATCTGGACACATGATTGTTGAGAGCCCTTCGGCTGATGATGAAGATAGTGGGAGTGACGAAGATGAAGATGATACAGATTCTCAAGATCTTTCCAGTGTCAGTAGTATGGATTTTGACTTCGAGCATATTTATGAGGCTATTTTGGCTTCAAATAAGGATTATGCATGCACGGCTATGGAGGAGTTGAATATGTTATTGCCTGTCCAAAAATGTCCGTTCAATGTGTTGGCTACTGCGGAAGTATCTTCTCCGCAAAGGGATTCCTCATTTATCAAAGAGAGGTTTCTGATGAGGAAGCGATCCCTCTTGTTCAAAGAGAAGGTTCTTACTCTGAAGTTTAAGGTATTTCAGCATTTCTGGAGAGAAGGTCGTGTAGTTTCTGTAAGTAAACTTCGAGGGAAGTCTCATAAGAAGTTGGATCTATGTCGTACTGGGTACAAGAAGAATCGTTCGTCCAGTCGCTCTAGAATATCTCATTCTGGTTAGTGAATTTAGTTGCTTTAAATTATATTCCTCTGCTCATAAATCCTTTTTTCCACAATGATCTTGATACACTCATATTCTTGGTAATGTTAATGGTGTATTACTTGCTGTTAGTCCTCACCTTAACTTTGAAATCTGTAAGAGGAGCTGGACACCAAATCTATCATTAAGAAATTAACCCAGATGTTTCTGTAAATGAGATGGTTTGAATTAAAATTATTTCTTCAGCACCCATGGTGTTTATTCAAAATAATCAGTACAAAATGTACAGCAAATTGGGATTTTCCTGGGTTTAGTTGTTTCTAGCCTGAGTTTATGTAGTCCTAGTTCAATATTTGGACGATTTGGCAGCGTTCTTCCCCATTTGGCTTCCTGTACCACCAAGATTTTATTCTAAGAAACACATCATTCCATTTGGTTTGATTGCCAGACTTTCAGAGGAGCCACCAGACGCTATGATCTCCTTCTCCCTCTCTCTAGAATGTCAAACAAACATATTTGTTGATCAGCTGCATATTGGAAACCTCCTCGTTTATGTTACCAGTAAGGGTTTCATTGGATCTAGTTTGCAAAGCACAAAGGATAGAAGTAAGTTCAATTTCTAATAGTTTTTGCCTTGTGTCGTAAGATCAACTGTATGCTGACGACCCCACCTGTGCTGCCATGTCGAGGCTATTGGCAAACCTGAAAAACAAAGTTAGATGGAGTCAGTCATATGTAATGTTTTTAAATATGTATAATAGGCATGTTGCTAGGGTTGGTTTTATCATGTTCATTAAGTCGTCCTACAGGCTACATAAAGGTTTAGAGTGATTTTGTTCTATGTCGGTTGCTGCAAAATTTTTCAAATATTCCAAAGTATCTTGTACTTTGTGATGGTCAATACTTGTTTAAACATTAAATAAGGTTTGAAAGTAATTCTTGTGCCTCCTTGTCATGTTATTCCACCAATTCTTTCTTATTATGTTGCAGCTGGAATCTCTCGGAAAGTGCCTGCCGAAGAAGTTGTTGAATTTATCAATGAGTTGCTTAGAGAGTCACAGATCAAGCCCTGCAGGAGTATTTTGAAGATGCCGGCTATGATTTTGGATCGGGGGATAAAGATGTCAAGGTTTATCTCGAATAATGCTCTGGTGGAGGATCCTTGTGCTACTGAAAGAGAGAGGTCCATGATCAACCCCTGGACCTCTGAAGAGATGGAGTTATTTATTGATAAGCTTTCTGAGTTCGGAAAAGATTTCAGCAAGATTGCATCCTTCCTGGAACGTAAAACTGTGGCAGATTGCATTGAGTTTTATTACAAGAATCACAAAGCAGAAAGCTTTCAGAGAGCTAAGCCAGGTGTGACAAAGCAAAGCAAGTCTCAGCCCACCACGTACTTGGTTGCAAATGGGAAAAGATGGAATCGTGAGGCGAATGCTGCTTCTCTTGATGTACTCGGTGAAGCTTCCATGATTGCAGCCAATGCCATCGAAGCTCAGCAGAAGTGTGCATCATCGAGGGCCTTTCTAGGAGCCTCCAGTTCTCAAAAAGCGCCATCTAGGAATTTTCATGGTCCATTGGAGAGATCAAACAGTTTGGATAATAATGAAGCTGCAGCTGCTGATGTATTGGCGGGTATTTGTGGTTCCCTTTCTTCAGGGGAGGCTATGAGCTCCTGCATCACTAGTTCGGTCGACCCTGTTGACGGCTATACTCAGAGAGTCACTTCTTGCGTGAAAATGTCTTTGACTCCGGATGTTATGCAGAGCGTCGATGATGAGGGCTCCGATGAGAGCTGTGCGGACATGGTGGACTCAACCGATTGGACTGATGAAGAGAAGTCCTTCTTTGTTCAGGCTGTCTCGTCTTATGGCAAGGATTTCGAAATGATCTCTCAGTGTCTTAGAACAAGGTCTGTCGAGCAGTGCAAGATATTCTTTAGCAAGGCCCGGAAGTGCCTGGGATTGGACCATGTGACCCCTGGACCTGGCAATGCGGCTGCTTGTGGTGGTGATGTTGATGGAGGAGGGGGCAGTAGTGACACTGAAGATGCTTGTGATCTTGCCAATGATGACTCGGAGTGTAAGATGGAGATGGATCCTCCTGAGAAGTGCAGTCATGAATCTGGTATAGCCAGAACAAGTGAGTCGAAGCATTTTGAGGCTTCTGGAGAAACTACCCAACCGTGTTCTATTGACTCTGTTATTGCTGAACCTGTACCTGTCTTGAACGATTCGTCAATGGCTGATGATGCTCTTGTCGATTATAAGCAAGCTGTGGATTTCAACGTGGATAGCAAAGAACTTTGTTGCGTAAATGGGGCATTTACGCCTGAGCTTGAAGTCAAAACCTCAGCTGAAGAAAGCAACGACTATGGTCAGCCAAACGGTGGACCTAGCGATACTGATAAAAAGGGTTTGGCCGAGGTCTTTAATGAGCATCATATGGAAGATGGTAAAGGACAAGGGCTTATCTCGTCTGACGATAATTTGGAAAATAAGAAAGTTGGGGATAGGGGCGCGAATTCTACTGAAGTGAATGTTGCAAGCAGTACACCAGTTGAGGTGAAGGTTGAGAATGTCTCTCATTCTTCTGTTGCTTCTTCAATTTCTTCCATTCAAAAGGATTCGGAGAGCCAAAATAATCCACCTTTGGAGCAGAATGACCACTGTGCACCCATGGAATCATCAACATTGTTCCCTGTTCCCATTAAGTATCAAGAGCCCTCAAATGGGACCAGCCAAAATGATCCTCAGAAAGTTGCTGTTGCAGGCGATAGTCATCAGCATGTCTCGGGTTATTCACAGTTGGATTCTGTTGAGCGTTCCCATATTCTGACGGGGTACCCTGTTTCAGTGCAGACTCTGAAGGTGATTAATGGCGATGTTGTTAAACACATTGCCATACAAAATGTTCCCAAGAGGGACGATGGTAAGCTGAATCTAGAGCTGCACACGGATTTTTCTCTCCAGAAGTGTTCTATTGGGTTAAGCAATCAGATTGATAATGTGTCATTTTTACCACAATCAGGCTGCTCGCCTGTTGCGGACAAGCCGCAGCAGCCTTCAAGAAATGGTGACGTGAAGTTGTTTGGTAAAATCTTGATATCATCCCAAGAGAAAACCAGTTCTTGCGATCGTGATGTTATTACTAGTAACAACAATAATAATGGCCAGCATCATAATCAGAAAGCAGGCCATCACCGCCAGTCGCTGACCCTGAACTTCAGTGGCGATGACAAAGCAGTTAATTTGGATTCTTTTCAGTCAAAGGTTGATTGCAACAGTTATCTCGCCTCCGAAAATAGTAACATCCCTTTTAAAAGTTTCAGCTGTTGGGATGAAAACAGAACAAAACAGCCCACAATTTTCCAGCCACTGCCCGATTCGGCTCTCTTGTTGGCCAAATACCCCGCAGCTTTCAGCAGTCACTCTACGCCGACTCTGAAATTTGATTAGCCCCCACTTTTTGCGACCAGGGACATGAGTAGTTGCACATCAGATTATCAGCTGTTGAGAAATCGAGAGTTACAGCCTTTTACCGTTGATAGTACGAAGCAACAGCAGGAAATGTTGTTTGCAGAGATGCAAAGGATGAACGGGTTTAGTGTTGTGCAGGGAATGCAACAGCAAGCAGCAAGATCAATTGTGGGACTTGATGTTGGTCGAGGGGTTCTCGTAGGAGGCCAGTGTACGGGTGTTTCGGACCCTGTCACAGCTATTAAACTGCATTATGCAAAGGCTCAGAGTATATCTGTGCAGGCTGGGAATGTAATTAGAGAGGACGATACTTGGAGGAGTAATGGGGATGTAGGCAGGTAGTTGTGTAAGTTGGAGATAAATCTGCCTTTTAGTCGAGGCCGGGTTTGCTCGTGGCAAGTTATGTCCGTTATTTTCTTGCTGCGTATGTATTATAGTGTTTTGTGTTTTATTTTTATTTTTGTTTTGACTCTTCAGCAATGAAAGGCAGTGGATATTTCTGAATCTTGGATCCTTTTGTCTTTATTCTTCTTGGGGGTGAGAAGATTTGTAGATCTTTGTAATGTTGCAGGAGCTTTGTAATTATTGTATTTGATCTCAAGTACAGGTGAAAAAAGGGATCGGTCAACAGATTTGGAGGAGAAAGATGTATTCATGAATCTCTTCCTCATTGTTTTAGCCCTTTGTGAACAGAAGCTGCTTTTTTTGATCGGTATGTCGCTTGCTCATTTAACTGGGGAAATTTTGTTTTTTTAGCCCTTTTGTGAACTGAAACTGCTTTTTTGATGGTATGTGGCTTGCTCGTTTAATTGGGGAAATTTAGTTTTTGGTGATTTGTCACCCTTTTCCTGCGCCTTTTTTGCTGGGGTCGATTTGTTGAGTGGTGTGGCTCATTTTGGTATTAGCTTCTTGCGACTTGTTAGGTGATAGCCAATAGAGATTCTGGATGACTTAATTGTGTTTCTTAGCATCAAGAATTCTTTTAACTTGATGTGAAATGTGTTTTCTATTGAAATTTTCGGCGGTTCTGGTTAGGCATATGAAAAAATAAAAAGAGGGAAAAAAAAGAAAGGAAAAACTGTTCTAGTGTTTTGGACTTTTGGTAGAATCATAAATTGGGGTTTGAATATGTTGATGGTAAACTTGGTGCTGGGGTTAGCAGAATCATTTACTATTTTTCTTGTTTAGTGACTGATTTTGATAAATTTTTGCTTATTTTAGTAATTTGACAAAACGTGTATAGCTTAATTCTTTGCACTTTGTGTGTGGTGTGTGAGAATTAGTTGAGTAGTAGGTAGGGATTCTCTTTCATGGGATAAAAATAAGTAAATAGTGTATCCAAGATGTGATTTAGACATGGCCACGGGCTAGGCCGGCCTGTCATCCCGGTCCGTCCGCAATCGGCCTGTAGGTTGCCGGTTCCGAGAACTGGCACCGTGGCTTTGTCGTTTTTGGGTCTGTTTTTTTTGTTTTATTGTGTCCTGGCAGTTCGGGTCCGGGCTGGGACCGGGCTGGTTCATGGACCCGTTCCTTGGTTTTTGGCGGGTTGGTCAAGTGTCACCCATGGTAGGCCCGGCCCGTTGACTGGCCATGTCTTATTATGATTGGACAAAAACGTGACTGCATTTTTGGTGTTTTTCTAGAGGTTTACCCAGTGAATGGGGGGGCTCCCATAGGTCAATCTCAACGAGCAATTTATATATTTATTAGTAAAAAAATAATAAGTGGACAAAATACAGAAAAAAAGAGGAGTGGACTAACATAAAAAGCACGTATTCTTTGAATACGTTTCTGTATAATTTAATTGAAAAACGTATTCACTGAATATGTTTTTCACATTTTTTTACAAAGGAAAACGTATTCAAAAAATACGTTTTCCAAATAATTTTTTCAAAAGCCGTATTCAATGAATACGGGCTTTTATTTCTTTTTCACTTCTTTTTCTTTTTTTTTTGTCCAC